TGAAGATTCCTGTTGATTTTACCCATATCAACCAGTCAGGTATCACTTTATCCCCCTTCCTCTCTCTCCTTCTTCCCTTCTTTTTCTTGGTATCAAATATTTCTTAATCATTCAGATGTCTTCTCTAAAGGTTAGGGAAAATGAAGATGATATAATTTGTAGCAGCAGCAAAAATACCTTCTCTTTTTATCAAGCACATATTAGGTACCAAGCACATATAATGCTAAACTTCATAATACAACCTCATTTAAGCCTCACAGCAACCTAATGAGATGTCTTCCAGTAGCCAGTTTTACTGTTGAGGAAACTGCAGCTCAGAGAGGTTAACTGATTTATCCCAAGCCACACAGCAAGTAAAAGAAATCACTTTCCCAACCTTATTACCAATTCAAGACTGATTTTTGCCAAATAGGGCTATGCAGACAATGAGTTGGTGTGTCTTGGGGTGATTTAAAACACTTTCCTGTTTCAAAGGTAGAATTTAGAGTAGGAACTAGTTTTAGGAAGGTGGGCATTCTCAAGGCTCTTAACCCTTAAAATAAAATGGATGGAAAACAGCCTCTTCTTTCTCGCCCACCTCCTCCTCTTTCTCCTTCCTCCTCTCCTTTCTCATCTCCACACCCCTTCTTTTTCTTCTTCTTTCCTCTCTCTCTCTCTCTTACACACACACACACACACACACACACACAGGGGGGAGAGAGAGAGAGAGATTAATAAATGATTCATCTCCATTAGCTGTAATTTGAGCCCCTCCCATTATGATCCTTGTAACCAGGGACTGTAAACTTAATCTGCCCCGTGTGTTTAAACAACTGATCCTTACTATCCAGCCATCGGAGGAAAACTGCCTTTGAAACAGAACCTCCCCAAACCACACTCTGCACATTGTAACACTGATGTCCTGTTCTTCCTTTTGAAATAAAATGGGTTGGGTTAGGCGTTCCCATCCTGTATCACGTGGGCTGAAGGGGAAGCTGTTCATTTAAAAAATGGAGTGTACTTTGTCCCGATGGAAATTATTTTCAGATGAAACAAGAGGGTGTGGCGGGGGTGAGGGGGGGGTAAGGGGGTCGTCATCTTGTTTCCCAGTGTTAGGAATGTCACCTAGAGCAGAGATGGCAGTCTGAAGAGGCACTGAGGGGCAGTTTAGATGGAAATTTCCAAATATGTGCTGTGGTCTTGCTGGGAATATGAGCAACTGGTATTTTCCAACTTGTGGAGGCCAGAAAAAGAGGAAATGAGTCTGATTCTGTGTAGCACTTGGTGACCCCTGCGGAGGGGGAGTTCTGCTCTCACGCTGCCTCTAGCGTACCCAGAGGGTCACAGAGGTCAGGCACAGAGTGGTCTTTGGTGTCTGTCTCCCCTTACTTCGCATTTGATGCTGACCCAGGGGTGTTTGCCAGGTATCTAGCAGAGTGAAAACACTGACTTCAGAGAAAGCAGAGGAAGTGACTCACCTGTCAAGAGGGTTTTTAAAAAAGAATGTGAAGCCGCCCTAAAAGTCTGCAAATGCATCAGAGAGCCATTTGGTGAAGAGTTGGGGTCCCTGTGATGTTCCTGGCCGCCTTTGCCCCAGTGCATATTTTCCAAGGCACCCTTCTGTAGAAAACTAGGAGTAGCTTGCCGTGCAAAAGCAGGGCACTTTGATGGGTCCATCTGGAATGACTGAGCTAGGGGAGGTCAGTGCATGCTTAAGACCCAGCAGGTGGAAAATGTTCACTGATGTAAGTGGAATTTCCTTTTCATTATTGAGACTGTGTCTCATTTCTTCTGGTAATTGTCCCATTTTTTTTTTTTTTAGAGATTTTTAAGTCTTTTTGTCCATGATATTTGTTAGCCATATCAACCCCCTCCCCATCTAGGAAGTTTTTAGTTTCAGTAATCAGATTACTGATCTTTTCCTTCTGCCTTCTGGGTGAGTGACGTGCATAGGTAACCTTCTGCGTACACCGAGGGACACTTACTCTAATCCCCACCTGGGCCTAGAACAGGTACACCGGGGCAGGCTTGATTAGGGTCCCGTCCACAAAGTCAAGTGGTAGGATTGTATTGGGTTTTTTTTTTCTTTTTTGTTTGTTTTTGAAACAACTTCATTTCTCCCTGGTGGTATGATGAACTAGAAAACTGTACCTCACTCCTGGCAGTTGGGTTCTGGATGGCATTTTAAAGAACATGTTTGCTGACACTGAAAAAACAAGTTTGGGGTAAATGCAAAACTGGTAAAACAAGAAAGGTGAATTGAGGGCAAGGTGGCATCTGTGGGAAAGGTGAGGCCGGGCTAGCTGCTAGCAGCACCCCACTCTGCCTGGAGGGGCTCTGGCTGGAGCTGAACGGCCAGAGAGGCCACAGTGTGCTGGAGGGTTAAAATCATCTTCTGGCTTTTCTGCCAGAGCCTCCTTGTCGGTGACTTCACACCAACAGACGAAACATTCTGGAACGACAGGCAAGGGCTTCCTGGAACCAGCCTTTCCCTGTACTGGCGTTTGAGTGCCAGACTCCCACTGTGACCCTGGGCAAGGCACTTGGCTTTTCTAGACCGGTTCCCCCTTCTCTCTGCTTGTCTTCAGCTCCCGACTCCAGAAAGCGCTCTAGGTCCCATTACGCTGCTGTCCAGCAAGCTGTGTGCCCTGCCTCCTGCCTGCCATCCAGCCCGACTCCTGCTGACTGTGGTGGCTTCTGCCTCACACTGTCAGGATATCTCCAAACCAAGCCTGTCTCCCAGCCCCCAGGGCAGGGCAGCAGCTGGTACCTCCAAGAGCGTCTCCAGTGCCCAGAGCCAGCGTCACGTTTCCCCACACCTCCACTTTGGGCGTTTAGAGAGAAGCTACTCAACCTCCCCTGGTTGATGATGGTCTGTTGACAGTCTGTTGCTATGGCCTGGGTCTGCGTACCTCTCCCAGGAAGGCTTGACTTGAAAATCCAGCCCCATCAGCAAGGAAGTCTGGTCAGCCCTGAACCCCCTCCACCGGGACAAAGCTCCCTGTCACAGCGCCCCATCAGCGGAGGCCCGCGGAAGTGCTGTCCCTGCACAGATGGAAACCGAGGCCCCAGCCCTTCCCCATGTTCTCTGCCATTGTAGCGGGAGGTGCCCATAGCAGGGTGTGGGTCAATCTGTGCTCCGGGAAGGTAGACAGAGGTGCTGCCTGGCAGGGAAATGTGCCCAGGGTTTCTGCCCGGGGAGGGAGGAGAGCAGATGTGGCAGAGGATGCAGGCCACAGGAGGCGCCCCTCAGCAGAGTCTGGGGACCGCGGAGCCTGGGGCGTCAGGGTGGGAAGTGAAGGACATCAGAGTCCGTTTAGTGAGCGTTCGTGTGCTGGGGTGCTCTGCTAACTGCACTCAATGCGTTATTTATAGGTTATTTATAGGTATTTTTATTTACTTAAAGTAGATTTTTATAAAGACTGAAAGAATTAGGATTCTCATCAATTTAGCAAGTGTTGGCTGTCAGTACAACAATGCATTCGTTTTAGTCTCTCCGACCTCCCTGTGACACAAGTCCGGTGACTTCCACTTGCAGCAGGTGAAGAAACTGAGGCATTCCAAGGGGAGACTGGCTTAGCGGGGGAGGGAGCTGGGGCAGGATGCGAACCCCATCTGTTCGAATCCCTAGCCCACTGGGTTACCACGTATAGCATTTGAAATGTGGGATTTGTTTTCCCAGTGTACCTCTTTTAACAGCTGCAATTAGAATGTTCCAGATGGCAGCCAGGTGTGCTGGGTCACCTTGGGGGGAATTCAGCCCACAGGTATCCCTCCGTGCCCTCTTCTGTGTGGCCAGTTGGTGCACACGCCAAGGCCCCTGCCTCGCCCCAGAGAGGGGAGCTGGCGCTGACGCTCCTCCTGTGGGTTGGGTCCTTGTCTCGTGGGGTCTGCGTCAGGCGTGGCGGGAATCTGGGCTCAGCAGGACAGGCGGAGGTGCAGGCTCTGAGGGGCGCCCACGTTGAGCCAGCTGAGGCCAGAATGCTGTTCCCTCGCTCTTGCTCTGCCCTGCCCGTGGCGAGGCAGAGGGCCACAGAGGGGGCACGGGTGGAGCCGGCCGCAGGCTGCCCACGTTTCAGTGTGTCCAGAGTTCCAGGTTCCATCACTTGAAGTTGTCAGCTGTTTAGGTGCCTCTTTGTTTTATGAACCACCAACTGAGAAGGAAACACATCTACAGATAAGAGCGTTCTGATTCCAGAAGCAAAACCCTTAGAAGTGTCAAGTCAGATTGGGGCTCCTCTGTGCTGCCCCATTTGCTAGAGGGGAAACCCCGAGGCACAGGGCTGAAGGGGTGCCCCAGCTCACATAGCCAGTGCAGAGTGCGGAGTTGAGCCCAGACTCACTGTGCTCTGCCCCCCAGGTCCCAGAGCTGACTTTTAGTCCCTTGTGAAGTGACTGTGGCCCCTTGTGGGTGGCCCCCGGGCACTTAGGTTGAGTCTCAGAGCCATGGAACCCCTGTGTCTTCAGCGCATTCCTTTCTCATGAGAAACCCCATCCCACTCCCCCAACTCAGCTTGGCCTCCTGGCCTGCCGCTTACCCAGTGGTGACCATCTTGTCAGCCAAGCTGGGCCTGTCGGCCCGAGTGCCTCTAGGAGCTATACGACAGTGTCTCCACGTGGAGACGCGACACGAGGCTTCACCTCCAAACGAGGGGAGTTGGTTACAAAGTCAGCCCTCAGTGCCATTCACCACGTGGCAAGGGACCTGTGACCACAGGTACTGGACGGCATGGGTGCAGAACGCTCCTGTCACTGCAGAAAGTTCTCCCAGACGGTGCTGTTTGAGGGGGGAGACGTGCTGTGGGTAAAAGGATTCCAGTCTCGCTCAAGGCTCTGACAAGCCCTGCAGCAGGATACTGGTCTTACCTCCAGCTCAGCACTGCAAATTTACTTGCCCACGAGCCTTTTAACACTTGTAAACAGCTCGACCTCTCCCTACCCACACTGAGTGACGTCCCTCTGTCTCAGACCTCCATGGCCCATGTTGGGAGCCTAAATAGCCCTTCTTGTTTTGTCCCCAGATTGCCTCGGGTCCCCAGTGTTCACCCCCATCAAGGCGGACATAAGTGGCAACATCACGGTAAGCACTGGGCCCCAAAAGTGCACCTGGTCACCGGCGCCCCGTGCAGTCTCCCCAGGCCAGGGAACGGGAAGGAGACCTGGCAAAGAGGCCTGGGCCCCTGCTTTGTAGCCTGCCCAGCCAGTCCCAGCCTGATGGCGATGGCAGTCTGCAGGGTTGACCCAGAGAAGGACACCCGGCAGTACTTTTGTCCATCAAGTGAGAAGTGGACTCCAGAGCCCACAGGTGGTGGCCCTTCGCTCCCCCCGTCCTGGGGCTTTCTGATGCCGCCCCTTCCCTCAGGCCCTCTGCCCTTGAAGACTCCTAGACCTCATCCCAGCCCTGTGGAGCTGGGTCTGTCCTTATCCCCATTTTGAGCAAGTAGAAGCTGGTGAGAGGCTGAGGCTCAGAGAGGCTGAAGGACTCGCCTGCAGTCACACAGCAAGGAGGTGGCAGGAGTAGGACCCAGACCTGCCTGCCTGTCCTGAGCATCTTTGGACCCTGTGAGTCCGTGGCTGCATATCCGCAGATGCGTGTTCTGAGGCGCATCGGTGGTGGGTGGAGAGCACAGACTCCAGCCGCCTGTGCTGGAGCCTTCCCCCACAGGCCTGAGCCGGCTGTGTGACCTGGAGCACGGCCTTCCCCTCTGAGGCTCAGTCTTCATCTGCAAATTGGGCTGAGACGGAGCACCTCAGGCTGGCGCGCCCACAGATCACTGGCGGGCCCGGCTCACAGGTGCGCCCTCTAGTGGGGCGTCAGGGTAGGCCTGGTAACTGCGAAGGCTGCTGCTATTCCTGGGGTTGGTGGGAAGGAGACGTGCTGTGCCCACGGGGTTCTCCTCCCCGCCCAGCACACTGGCTGGCTATTTGGGGGACGAAAAGGAAAAGGGAAAATATAAACCCCCACATGCTCCATTTCAGAAAATCAAGGCCGTCTATGACACCAACCCAACCAAGTTCCGGACCCTGCAGAACATCCTGGAGGTGGAGAAGGAAATGTATGGAGCAGAGTGGCCCAGAGTGGGAGCCACGCTGGCCCTGATGTGGCTGAAAAGGTGATGCGCTGGGCAGGTGGCAGTGCGAGGCGGCCGCGGACCCTGCCACACCTGCCGGGAAGGGCGGTCGCTTCCATGGCACTTCCTGCTGTGATGCTAGTTAAGGCCACGTGGGGTATCCCACGGCCACCATCTGCCCGGCGTGCTTTCTTGTCCAGTCCTGTCAGAGGTGCAGTGTCGGAGCCCATGCTCAGGGCATGGTGCTGAGCTCTTTACACCTCGAATTTCATGTGCTCTGAGTCAGGTGTGCTGATGATCCCCCATTCAGAGGTCCCAGGGCCTCGAGCCAAGTCAGGTGCCCAGGGGCAGAGCCCCTGAATGGCTGAGTCCGGTTGTGCAGACTCAGCACAGAGGTGTCAGGTCACATCCAAGGTAGATTTGTAGTCATGATAGCTGATTGTTTAAAAAAGATTGTACTTATTTTTGCATAGAAGAACTGGGTATAGGCAAGAGATGTGGGGGTGGGGGTGGCATAGAAGAACTGGGTATAGGCAAGAGATGTGGGGGTGGGGGTGGCATAGAAGAACTGGGTATAGGCAAGAGATGTGGGGGTGGGGGTGGGGTGAGAGGATGGCCAGAGACAGAGTGGGGTGCAGAACAGCCAGACTGACTGAAACATACTGCTGAGGGGGGCAGCAGTCAAGACAGGAGAGGTCTGCTGCACCATGTGGGTCAGCTCCCTGCCAGGGGTCAAAATGAGGCAGCCACAGTAATAATGCTGAGACCTAACCCCTAGGCCACCAAGGAGGCCTGTGACCGCTTCTTGCCAGAAATCCAGCATCTCGAAGTGACAGTGTTAGCTAGTAGTGCAGATGTGCCCTGTGGTAGTGGTAGAGGTGGGAAGTTGTGAGGTCCCGGAGGGACAGCAAGAGAGCAGACCAGCACGTGATCTGGACGTTGTGTTAAATTGCTGATAAGGGATTTGAACCCGGGTGTTGACACTGCACATGATGTTGTCCTCATTAGCAGGTACAAGAAGCCATATACAGTCCTCATCTCACAGATGAGGCTCGTGGCCTACAGGATTCTCTTTTATCAGGAGCTGTGCATTGTCCCGGGGAGGTGGGGAGGGGGCAGTGAGGGACAGTGTAAGGAGCCCACCTGGAGGGCAAGACAGGTGAGCCTTTCAGGACCCCATTGTTTTCTTCTCTGAAATGGGCTGATTGTGCCAGTCTGATCGTGCCGAGGGGAGCAGAGACGAGGCCATGTGCCTTAACAAGCTGGCACTGGTCAGTTTTTGATTTGGTCACCTTCCCATAGCCCACACCCTTCCCTGGCTCTTGAAGCATTGCTGTGGCCCCGGACATGGGACACCAGTAGCCACCAGAGTCTGCGGATGAGGTTCAGGCAGTGGTGGAGGTGGGGCACCTTGGCACAGGACCGGACTCAGTGTTCCAGTGTGTCCACTGTCCAGGTCCACAAACCCATGAGGGCCAGTGCTGTGGCTCCAGCCCTTCAGCACCCTTGCCCGCCTGCCACGTGCCAGCCAATGAGAAGCCACTGGGACATGGAAATGGGCAGGGCAGGCAGTAGGAGGTGGAGCCCTAACGCCATCTCCTTTCTGGTTGCAGAGGCCTCCGCTTCATCCAGGTCTTCCTCCAGAGCATCTGCGACGGGGAGCGTGATGAGAGCCACCCCAACCACATCCGCGTCAATGCCACCAAGGCCTACGAGATGGCCCTGAAGAAGTACCACGGCTGGATTGTGCAGAAGATCTTCCAGGTGAGCCTCCCTATCGGCCCAGAAGGACTGCCAGCTTTTGGGCTTCAGTCCCTGCTCTGTCCCTTCTTGGCTGTGGCCCTGGGAGCCCGCATTTGCCCGCCTGGGCTCAGGAAGGGCCCCCCTCATATGTGCTGAGGGATCCTTTTGGGAACAGAGATGCTCCATGGTATTTTTGTGCAGGTGCTCTGAGGCCTGAGGGCGGGTATGAGAGAAACCCCTGTGGAGACTCAGAGGACCTCACTTGGTATGGGGGTGGCTGATTTGCCCCCTCAGATTCAGTCTGAACCCTCTCCCTGGGCAGGGAGGGGAAAAAATGCCCAGGAGGCATCTACTGAAAGGACACTTGCCTTGTGTCGGGGTGACATTGGCCAGGGCTCCCCACCAGCTGGTGACCTGACACCCCCATGCTGCCAGACTAAGAAGCCCACTCAGGAGACATCAGGAGGCCTCAGGGTGTCCTGCACGCTGCCCCTGGCATCCTGTCCTTCACTCATCCTGTGCCCATGGCCACCTTTGCTCCCACTGCCTGTCACCCGCTCCCATGAGAACCAGGATCTGTGAACTGGTCTCACAGGGCAAATTGTGGTACAGAGGGTCAGTCAGGTTGAGAGCCAGACTGTGTCCACACAGGAAGAGAGGCCAGTTACCAAGTGGCCACCTCGGCATCCATCCTGGCCGAGCTGGGGACAGCCTGAGAGGGGTCATTACAGAGGCCCTGCACTCCCTGGGCTGTGTGGCCCTCAGTGAGGAGGGCGAGTCCTGCATGCCTGGCCCCGGCAGACTGCTGGGGATCGTCATCTGCACAAACACACGTGCCTATTTCACAGACGAGGAGACTGACACTCACAGAGGCTAAGTGTCTCATTCAAGGTCACGCAGTAAAGTGGGGGACTTGGAATCGGTCTCCCCGGGACTCAGTGTCCTCATCTTTCGGAAGGTGTAAACTGTTCCTGCCTTGCAGGGTGATTGTGAAAGTTAAGGAAGTTAAACTGTCTAAAGTGCCGGGCTTGTGTCTTACACTCAGTAAGTCAAAGCCTCTGCTATTTTGATTTATAATGGTGGTATTATTTGTGATTTCCTCATGCTTTCAAATTCTTGCCAAAGTGTTTTGTCCTTTCCTCCTGCCTCTGAAGTTCTGCAGATTTCCCTGACCCTTGACAGGAAGTGTCGCCCCCTGAAGGACAACAGAGGCCACTGCACAGATTAGCAATCATCTCCCTGCTCACAAAATAGGTTTCCCCAGGATGCCCTTGGCCTTTTCCCTGAGGGAAGAGACTCATCCCGGCTGAGCACCTACTGTGTGCCTGATGCTATGCTGAGCGTGCTGTCTAAGCTCCTCAACCCTCACAAAGACAGCCCCAGTTGGTGGGTGCCATTATGATTCCCATTTTACAGATGAGGAAACTGAGGCTCAGAGAGGCTAAATAACTTGCTCAAGGCGCACAGCTAGTCGGCGGCACAAGCTGGAATTTGAACCCAGGTCTGTCTGTCCCCAAAGCTGGTGTCCTTCCTCGCTGTCCTTCACGGGGGTAGAAGGGAAGCACAGCCCCTGTCCTTTCTCTTCCAACGCACGAACAGCACAGACCCTCGTCCTGCACGCACCTCCAGGAAGGCATCTCCAGAACCCCCAGACGCTGGCCTGGGGGCCCGGCTAACCCTGTGCCGCCTTCCCCTCTCCCTGTCTCAAGGCAGCGCTGTTTGCGGCTCCCTATAAGTCCGACTTCCTGAAAGCACTCTCCAAGGGCCAGAACGTGACGGAGGAGGAGTGCCTGGAGAAGACCCGCCTCTTCCTGGTCAACTTCACGGCCACCATCGATGTCATCTACGAGATGTACACTAAGATGAACGCCGAGCTCAACTACAAGGTGTAGGCGGGCCAGCCACTCACAGAAACGGGCATACCCGAGTCACTGTGAACCCAGCAGGCGGCAGGCCGGCGTCCCCCAGGGTGGCCGGCCCTGGCCTGGTCTGCAGGGCCGGGCCCTGTTTTTTTTTAAGTCATTTTGAGGTCTATTCTAATGAAGCAATAAATAACCACCCTACTTCTGAATCTCCTTTGAATTTCACAACAGCACAGACTGACTTTAGAACCTTCATTTCAGTGTGGTAAAACCAATTAATGTTTCTAATAAATCAGGTCCTAGGGTTTCCCCCCTTTCTGGGGGATGGTATCCTGTGCTTCACTTCAAAAATATGCACAGTCCTGATGGGGAGCTGCTTGAATGAAGCTTTGGATGTTTTAAGCACCATGATGAGTCTGATTGGAAATGATACAGGACTGCTGTCGTTGGGATTTTTTTTAAGCAAGCTGGTGTATGTTCTGTGGTCACATAGCCCAGCCTCACAACACTGTCTACACAGCCTGTTCTTCCTCACTGTCTTTCTCCAGACGGTTTTTTTAAGTAGCTGAAACCAACCAGCAAGCCTTTGATGGGGACAGGGCCGTATTTTAAAACTATCAGGCACAAATAATTGACCATAGGTGGCTGTATTTCCCTTACTCCGCATAATTACCTTCAGGGACAGCTTTCCAACCTAAGGAACTACCTACCACATGTGTTTTCCCAAGGGGGAGAGAATGAACCCCTCCAGCTGCTGAGACCCAAGAAAATGCCTCACTGCCTTAACTGTCCTTCCTGGCGCTAAACAGAGCTGTATTTTTTTTAAAGTGTGGGGGTGAACAAAGCCACCCCCAAGGGAATTGATGTGTGTTGAAAACCCAATGAGGAACAATTGGTAATTTTTATGCAGGAAATAAATAATCCTTAATAAATAAATCTATTTTGGAATCACATCTCTGTGTTTTGGTACTTGATTTTTGTTTTCCTGGTTCAGAGCTTATAACTGAGGGGCCTGTTTTTTTGGCCTACTTGGTTTAAAAAAAAAAAATGGAACTGGTTGCCAAATTCATAAAATTTCACTTTGATTTCTAGCTTCTTTTGAAAGATCAAACTTCCTGGCAGGAGCTAAGAGGTTACTAACCCCTGGACTGGACAGAATGAGTGGGCCGATGTAAACTCCACTTTATCTCAGTCTTCACCAGCCCACATTGCCTCCCCAACCCTGAGACCAGTGGCTATTCGCACGTTATCATGGATGGACGGTTGCTCTTTCTTACACAGGACCGAATGCAGTAAAATGACTATTTTACTTGGCTCCTAATCTGCATAGCCAATAGTCAAGTGGACAGAATGAACCAGTAGTAACAGTGATAATGTAGAGGGGTCAGTGGCCAGAGGGAGCCTAGGGCCACTCCTGGGATGTGCACTGAACCTGGATGGAAGGTTGAGCTGGGGGTGGGGTCGAGAAAGGAGGGACAGGGGACACTCCCGCCACAGGCAAGACCCAGTGGCTTGAGCCAGAGCAGGCTGTCTGTGCAGCGTGCTCCTGGGGGAGGCATCTGAACCAACTTGAGAATGATGGAGGGTCTCCCAGGGTCATGTGCATAACTACAGAGCCAGTTTGGAAGGCGCCCGTGGCGAGGCCGGGGACGGACACCTGAACCAAACGTTGCTGTGTCCGATTTCACAGTATTTTCCAATCTTGCTGACAGGAATGCCACTTGATCTGAGCTCTAATTGCTTTTTAATTTCTCCCTTTTGGGTTTCCTAGAAATGTGAAAATTCGGCCAACAAATTGTTTTGCGCCTTCCTTGAAGAAAAGATTTTCTTTGTTCTCAAACAAAATACGATGAAACTGAGAGGGCCCTTTCTTTGTGGAAGGTCAGAATATTCGCGGGAAAGCCTCTTTCACTCCTCACCCCTGCCAGGCCCCTGGAATAATTTAAGGTGTTTTTGTTGTTGTTGTTTTTACCGTCCCAGAGACTGCGCTAGTAGTGCAGCTGTGCCTTCCTGTTTCATCCCTGTGGCACCACATTCCATCCTGGCACAGCAGGAGGAACACTCATTGAGCACCAGCTGTATACCAGATCCTACACAAGCACTTCACACACCCCCATTTCACAACCATCCTGAGATGGGGCGTCAGGAACCCCACTTAGCAGATGAAGCAACTGAACCCCCTGGAGGTGGGGTGGGACGTCTCAGTGTAGCCCAGCCAGGACTAGGGTCACATCAGTGTCCACCTCTGAACCAGCTGACAACCTGAGTCCCACACAACTTCCTGCCAGAGAACTCACCTGTCCAGGTCTGGGGAACCTGATAGATAGTGCACAGAAACTCAAATGAAGCCCCAAATTTGACAAGGGTTGACTCATTTATTTATTCTTTCAACTTCACCACGCAGTAGTTCAAATCCATTACAATATTTGTCTAATATTATAGACAGCTAAAGTTCAGTCCCCCCCCCCAAAAAAAAATGCCTGTTTCTTTTTATGTAACTGGGGTTGCTGCTGATACCCACCTCACAGGTTATGACGCTTGGAAAATGTTACTGTTGTAAAGCAATAGAAAGGTCTGACACAGAGAAAGCTGAAATGTAGTAACTGTTAAGTAAAACCGCACCATATATTTTTGTGACACGGGGTATATGCGCACACGATGAAGTAGCGATGAAGTGGCGGAGTCTTGGCGCTGCTGTTTTAGCTGAGTGGCGCTGGCAAGGTGCAGTCCTCTCAGAGCCTCAGCTTCCTCATCCTTACACTAGGGATACTAAGTGGTTGGGCAGGCGCCTGGCTGCATAATTGAGCTAGTTCTCACCGTTTGCAAGTATTTGAGGGACTATGGAGGAGGAAGAACTCCCCTGGGTTTGGTTGGTGCTTGGGTCTCCTGGTTTGCCCCTGCCGGTTTGGTACTGTCGAAGGGAGAGGGTGCGGCGAGTGGGGGGAGGGGGCGTGCCGAGTCTCTGTGCCGCTCTCCTGCGCAGGCGCGCAGGCTGCCTGCAGCTCCAACAGCACCCGGTAGGTGGCGCTGCCGGCTCTGGCTGGAGCCCCAGCCGCAGCCCTGGGAGTCCGTGTCTGCCGAGCTGTGAGACGCTCGGTCCTTTTGAACACCGTGGGGAAGTTGAAAGCCTCTCAAGCGGGTGCTCTGGGATCTGACTTCAGGCCAGCTTCGTTGTGGACGTGGGAACTCATCAAAAGGATCCTGCTGCTCGGTGCTGCCGCCGCCGCTGCCCTCCCGCCCCCTCGTCGGCGGTGCGCTGCATTTAACCGGCACCACCGGCTCCTAGCAAGTGCTGGATTCTGTAACCGGCTGTGAGTTTAGGGTAAATCAGTGCTTCACTCTGGAGTCCCCGTTTCTCATCCGTAAGGTGGAATGGGGGTAGACGTCTACCCCGGGGATGACATACAACCGTGTGTGTGTAATGTGCCTGACTACCCGAGATGTCCAATTTTACTTATTTTTTAAGCTTTATTTTTATTTATTTATGCATACAAGAACTGGGGTACAGGGGTGAGAGGACTCATCAGAGACAGAGCAAGGAACAGAATAGGTGGATTGACTCAGATACACTGCTGACGGGAGCAGCAGAGGGACAGGAGAGGCCTGCTGCGCCCTGTGGGTCAGCTCCCTGGCTGGGATCGAACTCGTGCTGCAGTGGCAGCAGATAGCTTGACAGCATGAGACCTTAACCCCTGTGCCACCTGGGAGGCACACATGACTTTTATTAACATTTTAAAGTATGATGCTTCAAATTGCCTAGGGCACCCCAAAGGGCAACCTAACTCCTAGTGCAGGTAAACCGCAGCAGGTACATTTACTCCCTGGTCTTAAAACTCCAGCAGTGCCCTCCTCAACACATTAACATCTCCTGAAAAGCTCATGCCCTCAGGCTGCCCTTCCTTGTTCTACCTCATCTGCTGATGGCCCTGGGCTAGCCTCTTTCCCACCCTGGGCTTCAGTTTCCTTGCTATAGCAGCAGGGGACTAGAGGTCAAAGTTCCCTCCCAGCCCCTTTATATTCATGATTCTATGGAAATCCATACTGCAGTCACAGGCAGGGACATTGATCTCTCCTTGAGACATTGAAGGGGACCCCTTGCCAAAGGATTGAGCTCAGGGCTTGGCACCCAGAGGGTGTTGATAAAGGGCAGCTATGAGGATAAGTCCATCATGCCTAGAGAGAATTGCCTGCAGGGTGAGGCATTCAGTCCCTATTTGCTGAACATCTTCATAAAACACAGATAAGATCCCAGGGACACAGGTGCACTGAACAGAAGTAGAGGCGATGCTGAGGAAGGGCCTCTCTGAGGAGGTGATGTTTGAACCGAATTCTGAAGAAGGAGAAAGCCCTGAAGGAGGAGAAAGCCCTTGAAAAGTAGCTAAGTGAAGCCCGTGCAAAGGCCCCAGGCGGGTGAGAAAGCCCTGAAGCTGAGGAGAGGCCAGAGTGCTGGAGTCTGGAGATCAAAGGGTCACAGCGAGGGATGAAACCTAGAGCTGAGGCTAGCGAGGTTTCTGTTCTCAGAGCAGGGGAAGTCCATCACCTTTATGAGTAGGGAGGACAGAGCCAATTCACAAGCTTATTATTATTTTTTTACTTAAGTAACATCAGTTTATAGTCACTCACATGTACACACACACACATTGGCACACTACTCAGCTTTAAAAAAAAGTTGAATCCTCACCAGTTGCAACATGAACCTAGAGACGATTGTGCTTGAAAGAAGTCAGAAGGAGAAAACGCAGTATGACTTCACTGATGTTGGAAGATAAAAAATGAAACAATGATCAGACCAAACAAACGCTTAGCCTATAAGAATGAAAAGGTGGATACCAGAAGGGAAGGGGAAAAGGGTGGATAAATCCCGTGAGAGGGGCCAATTGTGTGGTGCTGCAGACTCCCCTGGTAGTTTAAAAAGGTGTCAGCCAGGGTCCCAACACACCCCGGACACACCCCTTTCCTGGCCTCCGAGAGGGGCTGTCTTGCCCCCAACCCTTTACTCCAGACCCACCTCACCCCCAAACTCTACTTCTGCCTTGCTGGGAAAACAGAACCTTCATCATCTATATGCTGGGCGAAAGTGTGGGGACCCCAGGCCTCCCTGATAGCCAGGAAACTTTCCAGAAAATGCTTATGTCTCCCTCTTACAATTTCACTCGATTCCAGGTGGACCCCCCAGTAGCACACCCCAAATTACTAGGATGCTGCTGGCTGCAAGGCCTAGACACATCCCTCCGCCTGCCATTTGCAGGGAAGACTGTCTGGGACTGGACAGTCCAGCTGTGGCTCCTCGACACCCAGGGCACCAGGCCTGATGCCCAGGAGGGGAAATCTCAGCCCGTGGCTGTGCCCATGGCAACGGTCACCTGAGGGAAGGACTTCTTCTCTACCTGGCCTCAGGTTTCTGCCCCAGGGAGAATTCCAGAAGAGCCTCATTGAAGGTCCCTGTTGGGGTGGGGCCTCCAGTCCTTGGGACAAAGCCAGTTATTTGCAGGAACTGGGCGGACAAACCAGCAGATTGTCTCTGTCTCCATATCCTGTCTCCCAGGTTTCTCCCTCAGGTGAGAGGCTGTGACTTCATGGGGTGTGGAGGAGGCTGCTGGCCCTGGCCAGGGTGGCAGGCTCCCAGAGGAAGCCTCAGCACTGTGTGAGCTCAGGCAGGCCCCTGACCCTCTCTGGTTGCCTTCCCCACCTACAACTGGGTGGGGGAGGAGGAGGGAGCATCCTGAAGCTAAAGCCTGCCCCACACAGCGGCCTATAACACATGCCTGCTAGTCCTCACTTCCCCACCCTCTCTCCCAACTGTGTCTTCATAACTTGAGCTTCCCCTTGGGCACCCACTAAGAAAGATCAAGAAAAGCCAATCAGAATTTCTCACCGCCCCCCCATAACCCCACATTCCCCGATCAGGGCGTGGGGGTGGGGGTTCAAACCAGGCCTTCCTAACATACCAGCG